GACTCAGGCGATCTAACCTGCACTTCCACTTGACTGCCTTCTCCTGCCCCTGCAGAAAGTGTGAGATCCATGCCTGATCAGAGGGTGAAAGCCAGTGGCTAATCACGTTAAATTTAACTTCAGGTGATTTCAGGGTTTTACTGGATGCAGAATTACTATGTTTCAGAGATAGCACATCTTCAACTTTATAAAGTATTGCCAAATTTCTCTTCCAAATAGTTAGACCAATTTACACTCCCACCTGTAAATGTATGAGTTCCCACTCTCACACATTCTTGGCAACATCTGGTGTTTGCCTGCTTTATTTTTACCAATCTCTGATGGGTGTGAAGTAGTTTCTTATTTTGGCTTTAATTTGCATTTCTACTATTGAGCTTCTTTTCATGTTTATTGGTCATTTAAGTTTCATCTGTGAATTGACTGTTCATATGGTGTGCCTTAAAATCTCTTTACACTTTTTGATATGTAAGACTACTTCATATATTCTTAGTGCTAACATTTGATTGGTTCTGTAAGTCTTAAATATGTTCTTAGATAAAGAATTTTTAGGTCGGGTGCTGGTGGCTCACGCCTGTAATCCTAGAGACGCAGGAGGCAGACATTAGGAGGACTGCAGTTTGAAGTCAGCCCAGGCAAATAGAGCTTGAGGCCCTATCTTGAAAAAAACCCATCACAAAAAAAAAGGGCTGGTGGAGTGGCTCAAAATGTAGGACCAGAGTTCAAGCCCCAGTACCACCAAAAAAACAAAAGAAAAGAATTTTTATGTGCTCAAATCTATCAGAAATCTGTCTTTTCCTTGATGACATGTGATTGTGGGTCTTAAGAAATTCTTCCCTATCTTATGTTCATATCTCCTGTAATTTCTCCTACAAGTTTTATATTGTTCTTTTTGATATTTAAATCTTTGGTCTATCTATAACTTATTTTTTTATATATCATGAGAAATAAAAATGCAGTTTCATATTTTCCATATAAATACCCAATTGCTTTAGTTCTGTTTGTTGAGTAATCCATCTTTTCCTCATTGAGTTATATTATTGCCTTATTATTGGCATTTTTCCCTGTTGTTTTTAGGATCAGCTTCTCAAGTTCTTTGGAAAAAAAAGCTTTGTGAAATTTAATTAGAATTACCCTGTACTTACAGACTAATTTGAACAGATACTGTATTTACGAATTGAGTCTCGCCATCCATGAACATAGTATACTATTCCTTTTCTTTAGGTCTTCTCATGTACTTTTTAATACATGCCTCCAGTGTTCATTTTCTCTGTAAAGCTCTATTACCATTACAAAGTGGATTGGTTTTTAAGCTTAAAGTTTAAATCGATTTTGCTCAAGCCTACACTTGCAACGCAATAACACACTTGTTTCAAGGCTATTTTGTGTATGGTACAGATTTCTGATACCTGTTGAAGTCTGTTCTGTAGTCTAGTATATAGCTAATGTTAGGAAGCTAATGTTAGGAAGAACATCTTCTTGAAAAGATGTTCTGTTCTCTAATTTTGTGCAGATTTGTATCTTTCCATTAGATCAAGCTTGTTATTGATTGTTTCTATCAGTCTTTATAAAATGTTTTCTACTTTATCTGTCAGTATGATTGTGGATTTGTTAATTTCTTATAATAGTCTTAGGATCTTTTGCCTTACTAATCTAGAGACTGAGTCAGAATTACTACAACTTCCTATGAGTTACTCCCCTTTTACTATTTAATAGTTTTTTTTATTCCCAGTGTTTTTGCCTTAAAGCATATTTTTTCCTGGGATTAATAGAGCTGTGCCGATTTTCACTGGTTTGCTTAGTAGCAGTTAAAGATGTATTCAAGGGCAGATGATAGAAAACTTCACTACAGTTGCTTAAACAAATGGAGAATTTTTTTTTTCTCAAATAACAAGGTTGGGCATAGGTGTGGGTCCATGTGCTCAGAAACCCAGGCTCTTTATATGTTTCTGTTTACTGCTCACGTGTGCCATCTTTCATCCTCATGCTTGTTTTCCCCCATGAAGCTTTATGGGGGAGCTTTATGGAGGGAGAGGAGAGCATAACCTTTATCATCAATTGCAGGGTACAGTTTCCTGTTTTATCATCTATAGAATCTGTGCTCCATGATTATAAATAGTTTGCTGTTTATGCATACTTTATGAAAGTTCTTTAATTAAAAGATGGACCCTTCTGTTTCCAGAGTGAATAAATGTGACAGTTGTCTTTACAAAATTAAATCACCAGGGAGAAAAATGCTATGCAGGCCTGCAGGCCTGGTTTTAGAGCCAGAAGCAATTACTTTGTCAACTCTCAGTGTATCAAATATTATTAGTTTATTAGCAAAACATGATAGATTGTAAAGCAGTAATGCAAAGTAAAAATAGTTTACAAGTTGAGTGTTTAGGAGTTCTCTCAAGATACCATCATTTTCTATACTTTTTCAGAAAACTGTTTAAATTTCAGGATTTTCCATGAAACCTGACATCACACAGTACCTTTTGCTTTGGCATTTGTGTACTATAGGCAACCCTTCTTATGCAGAAAACACTACCTCATACTCTCCCTTTCCTTATCCCATTCTTTGAAACATCCAATGCTTCTTATTTCACCCCTATTCTTGCCCTGGACCATTAAGACACAGGTCTGTAGAACCATAAACCATCTCCGCATTTGCCTTCAACAGCTCTGAAGCAAATAGATCTGTTTCTGTTTTGTATTAAAAATGATTGCCATAGTTTAGATTATTCTATTGTTTCCTGGGGGGCTAGAATAATATATTAATATGACTAATGTTTGATTTATGCTAAAAGTTAACAAAGCATTTACGTATGTTATTTTATTTAGCCCTCCTTAGTGCCAAGAAAAAAAAGGTAAGAAATGGAGTCTTCTCATCTCAAACTGTAAAAGAAGGCAACTAAGTGTGTAAGCAGAGCCTGGTACTAACTGACTACTCATTGAGTGACTGTACTGTGAGTTGGACATTTTCTTTTAGGCACTGAGACTGTTAATACTGAATGCCATTTTGTCATCATTAATCCTTATCCAACAATATTGTTGAACAGAACTAGGTGTCTTTTCACTGCCGGATGTATAGAAAGTGTTTGTTGCATGAAATTAAGCATTATGACACGTTTTCTCCCTTTTGTGAACAGGTGGTATATTATTTTATATTTGTTGCCTGTAAGCTGTGTGTATTACTTAGTCATTAGATCGAAATATACACATAAAAACTCTTGAAAAGGCAAAGTTTTTAGAAAGTCTTAAGTATTCCTTTCCACTGTTTTTACAGATTTTTTTCCAAGTGACTTCTTTATATTTCACTGAAATTCTTCCTGTGATTGAAGCCCTTTTTTTCCCTATCATGATCAGACAGAGTTTGTATAATGCTGGCGTGCTAAAGTGTTTGCCTAGCATGTGCGAGGCCCTGAGTTTGATCCCCAGCACCAAAAAAGAAAAGACAAAAAAAAAGTTTGTATCTTTCTGACTAGTTGGTCTTTACAACTTTACATATGAAAACTCACTTTTTCTTATTCTGTACACAATAATCATTTCTTAGTTTTTCCTCACAGATCTTGGTATTCAACTGCCACCTTACCTTTTCTCTAGCTATACAACTCCATCTTAAATTTCCATACTGTTTAATTGTGTGATCATTTCTGTTTAGAAACTTGAATTAATTGAATTTAATTAAGTTTTGTGCTTTAAGTATTCTAAAATAATCTTTCAGCCATGGAAACAAAGAAGTATTTTCCTGTCGAGGAATAAAACTGGCAGTGGACTGGTTTTTGGAAAGAGGCCATAAAGATATTACAGTTTTTGTTCCTGCTTGGAGGAAAGAGCAATCCCGACCTGATGCTCTCATTACAGGTAATCTCATTGTAGTTACCCGTTTGTTCCTAGCTTCTAGGTAATTCTTACACAGGTATTCTTAATCTGTTTCTACTTACTCAGTCTGTGTGACTACCATATTCTCTTGAGTGGGACATTAGAGTTCTTGTTGAGTTTGAAAATGATGTAATTAACTAAACATTAGTCTTTGCTACGTAAGTTAGGTTTTTTTATTATGTGGAAACTTTAGCCCCAAATTTTACAAACGTCTGACTTTTAGAGACTTGCTAAAAGTCAGGAAATGTTTATAGCTTTACCATTCAATAGCTCTGGGACTCTGAACAGCATACCAAACCTCTTTGGACCTGACTTTTCTCCTGTACTGTATCAACTAGGTGGCAGTCAAGTTTTAATGGCTATAGGTCAGAAAAGACCTTTAAGATCCTGAGGTGTGTTATCCAATCAAGAAAAAGCAAATGGCCAAATCCCAATAATATGTTTCTAATTTGCATTGTTTTTACTTTGGGGCAGGGGACTATATTGGGGTTTGAACACAGGGCCTCAGGCTTGTTAGGCAGGCACTCTATCACTTGAGCTACACCCCAGCCCTCATAATTTTTAAATGTGTGAGTTTTGGGCAGAGATGTCCTTTCTACCTGTTAATTGTGGTTGTTGAACATTTGGCTCAAATTCATTGACTCATAATCATCATCTACCTCCATTATTAACAAAAACTGTGAGGAAACCTAGGTGAAGGAAACTACAGAACTTTTCAAATCAAAACCAACCATTTACCCAAGAACCATTTTAAGACTCTCTTTTTATCTGCAATTATTAAATCATTGTTAAATTAGGATACAGTGAATAGGCAAGTAATGGTGGAGTTCAAAGCCATGGGTTCAGAGTGTAGTCTATATAAAAATGTAAAGTGAAGAGCTGGCATAATTCAACCAAAATGTTGGAATAACTCTTTGGGGAAAATAGTACTTGTTTTTAATCATATACCTTTATAATAGTTTCATAATCAAGGTGGTGTATTATAAAGTAAACTAAAAGAGAAAAGGCAGTTGCCAGGTGTGGTATGTATACCTGTAATCCCAGGACTGCAGAGGTGACGACAGGTTCAGGGCCAGCCTGAGCTGTACAGTGAAACCTTATCTCAAAAAAAAAAAAAAAAAGAAAGAAAGAAAGAAGAAGAAGAACAGTGTTGAAGTACGTAAATAACTTGCAAGCTTCTTGAGCAGGGTTAAGTGAGTGTGGCTGAATCTGGTTTAACAGTACCAACAACATGCCAGGTCTCTGAAGTACATCAGCATGCAGCTTACTTTGTAAAATGCCAGACTGTTATCAGAGGCTTTTAAGTATCCCCAAGGAAATAATTTTCTGACTAAAGACCACAATCACATAAAACCTGATTACCCCCTAAACTGAATAGTCAGTCCAGTATTCTCTCACTGCAGCAAAAAAAATATATATATATATATATATATATTGATTAAAAAATGTTACAGTTTTCAGAGTCATAGATTCACACTAACACTTTTGTTAATCTTCCATTCACTTAACAAATATCTAACAAGCACTAGCTATGTCAGTTTACTAGCTATACTGAACTTATATTTATTTATGCTAGGATTATTTACATGTCATCCTAATTAGTGTCCTTTCAGCCTTATTACCTGTTTCATAAATGCAAATTAAGCAAGATGATGATGACTGTTAGACTGCCATATTTGTTCCTCCAATGTGTTTGATGAGGTTCTAGGCATATATCAGTAAACACCCTCACCGATAATAGACTGCTATACAGTACTTGTGAATAAACTGGAAAACTGCACACCACCTATCTCAATAGATTATTTAGTCATTCATTCCTCAGACATTTACAGAGTATCAACTGATGTGTTTCATGGGCAGGGTGCTGATGGATACAAAAGTAAAAGAGATACAGTGCTGGTCCTCACATGTTTATCAAGGAAACATAAAAGTGATCTGTAATCTGGGCTTTTGGCTTTGTGTTGGTATTCTGTTTGTTTTTTGTTTTGTTTTGTTTTTGTGTATGTGTAGTTCTGGGGTTTGAACTCAGGATCTTGTGCTTGCTAGGCCTGTGAGCTATACTCCAGCCTTTTTGCTTTCCTTTGGTTTTGGTTTTGGTTTTCCAGATAGGATTTCATGCTTTGCCTGAGACTTGTCTCAAATCATGATCCTTCCTATCTCTGCCTCCCAGTTAGCTGAGATTATAGGCATGAGTAACCAGTTTTAGTGATTTTTCTTTTAAAAGATCAACAGTTACATAATTCTGTTAAAATTTAAGCTGAAGAGCACAGTGTTTACTGAGAGGTACCTTTAGAGATGTGGACTCATTCAGTCATCACAGCTGTGAAGACCTCTGCTGCCACATGTAGAAAGCAGCAGAACCTGAAGTTTTATCTGTTGCTTTTCTGAACCAAAGTTCTGGTCTGAATGAGCTCATTTATGAGGAACTTCATCAAATCCATAGCCATATTAAAGCTGGCCCATATCACTCTTCCATTTACTCTTCCTACTTTGCTCAAAATTCTGCTGTGGCAGTTATACCCTTGCTTACCTAGTTTACATGTTTGTCCAATCCAGTAAGACTGAAACCACTTTAAGGAGAGGTCAGTTCTTAACCTTGGTAGCCATTGGCATCCAGCATAGCACAGCATATTGAAGAGATGGAGGGTTTTTTGGCAGTATTGGGGTTGGAACTAAGAGAACTTTGTGCTTGCTAGGGAGACATCTGCCACTTGAGCCATGACCCTAGCCCTCTTTTGCTTTGGTTATTTTTCAGATGGTTCTCGATTTTTTTGCCCTGGGCAGCCTCAGACCATGAGCTTCCTATCTATACTTTCCATGTAGCTGGGGTGACAGACTTGGTTTTGAGATAGCCTTACTCACTTTTTGCCTGAGCTGTCCCTGAATCACAACCATATTTCCACCTCCCAGGTAGCTGGGATTATAGACGTGAGCCACACACCCAGCAGGAGAAAGCTTTGAAAACTTAGTAACCAGACTTGTTACCACATGTTGGAGAGGAAGAGACACAGAAATTACAATAGCCATGTCCATAGCAACCATCCTGACTCACTGCATCCTTTCTCTTGAGCTTTCTCTATTTTAGGATTTCCCCTTTGCTTCCTTCACTACTACTTTGCAGACTCTTTCATCATGACATCCACTAGTAGAAAAAAGTAACTGGGAGGAAAATACTTGTTGCTTACACCTGAACTGACACAGTTGCTTTGTTAGAACGTCATTGTGGCAGGAATGTGACATGGTGGTAGTGCTGGTGGCTTTAACTCTTAAGCAAAAGCTTCATGGAATGAAAATGGGAATTTGCTCAGTCATGTTGAAGTTCTATGCTGCATTTTTTTTTCTTTTCTTTTACTATTTTTAAAGCCTTTATTGAAATTTCTGAAAGAAAAATATTGGGAGTTACAAATCATGCTACATCTACAAACGGTAACTCATAATCTCTTAAGTGATTACATATATTCCAGTTCATATTAAAAACTCGAATTGTGTGAAAGTTGCCATATATGTTATATATGTATTTATTCCTGAAATTCTACCCTTATTATTCTTGCAGATCAGGAAATTTTACGCAAATTAGAGAAGGAGAAAATCCTGGTGTTTACGCCATCCCGTCGAGTCCAGGGGAGGCGCGTGGTGTGCTATGATGACAGGTTCATTGTGAGGCTGGCTTTTGAGTCGGATGGTATAATTGTGTCCAATGATAACTACAGGGATTTGGCTAATGAAAAACCAGAATGGAAGAAGTTTATAGATGAGCGGTTATTGATGTATTCCTTTGTCAATGACAAGTAAGTCAACCAGTGACATTGCTTCCCTGGAAATAGATCTGTGCCTGATAACTGCTATAGAATCCCTCTCTTTTTGCCACTAACCAGACCTAGTACATGTTTCCCAACACCTGATGTCCCCGCTACTCAGTGGCAGTGGGAGCTGCTGTAAGCTCATGCCCCTGTATGCCCTTCCCTGAAGCCATGTGCAGAAGAATCCTATCTTCACCCCCAAAAAACTGCCTTTCACTGTCCAGCATTGATAGCTTGCTAATGCAGTTCTGAAAAACTGTTTTACCAGTGTAAGACACTAGTCATGCTCAGTCAACAAGTTGACGAACGGACAAATGACTCAAATAAGCGTGTGTCACGTGAAGTAAATATACTTATAAATATGTAGAAAAAGTTGTCTATTGTTAATCAGAAATGTAAGCTAAATCTAAAAAGTTTTATTTTCTCACCTGTTTAATTCACAGAAATATTTTTATGTATGCCTTATGCTATTAAGATGCATGTAAACTGATGTGCAATTTAGCAGAGATTGGCAGAAGCTTCAAAAACATGCTTATTTCACAACCCAATAATCTTATTTCTTAGAATATATAATGAAGGTTAAAGACCAGATATGTTCATTTCTATATTATTCGCAGTTGCAAGAATCAAAAGCAACTGAACATTCACTAGAAAAAGAAAGCAAGTTCTAATATGTATCCTGCTGGAAGTTGTTCAGCTGTTCAGAATTATGAAGGCTGTTAAACATGGAAAATGTTTTATGCTAGCATAAGAAAAGACAAAGCATAAAACATGGATAGAACATAATTGCAGCAAAATTATGGGATTGAGAGAGTTTGTCTTCTGTCTTTTCACTTTTATCACTTTCAGTGTTGCCAGTGTTGTTTTTATAATAACACTGTTTTTGCTAAGTATATTTCTTAGCAATTTTGACACTCCCCTAGAAATTTATATGTTACAGTGTGGTGTTTTCCTTTTTTTAGGTAAATACTTGGGCTTGTTTCAAGTTCAAACAGTGATGTAAAAGTAGTGTATTTCCTTTTCATTATGTATACTGTATATTCTTCCCTTCCCCTTCCCCTTCCCTCCCCCTTCCCTTCCTTTCCTTTCCCTTCTCCTCCCCTTCTCTCCTTTTCCCTTCCCTTCCCTTCCCCTCCCCTCCCCTCCCCTTATTGTAATCATTCTAAAATCCTTACAAAATCCCAAGACTGAGAGGAAGGAAAAATTAATTAAGACATGCTAAACTCAAAATTTACTTGAATTAAAACGAATACATGTGCAGCTTTAAACATTTTAATTTTGTCTTCATTAAGAAAAGAGAACATGGTGTTACTGATTTTTTTTAATCCTGTAAATGTTGACTCAAAACACTTGGATTATAGCTTCAAAAGAAAATTCCTTTGCATGAATAAATCTTTGTATTCTGTCTTTAGAATTAAATTATCAAATCTCCTACTTAGGTATCATTTTTTATTATCTCCATGATAGGTTCATGCCCCCTGATGACCCTCTTGGTAGACATGGGCCAAGTCTGGATAACTTTCTGAGGAAGAAACCTATTGTTCCTGAACACAAAAAACAGCCTTGTCCATATGGTAACTTTCTTTACAAATATTTAATGTTTTCCTTTAGAACACAATATGTCGTTAAACTTTTGATAATAAAAATAAGTATTTAAAATTTAGGGTGGCATACTATGTGGTGCTTTTGATTTATAATTAAAGAGCATGCCCTACCCATGAAAAAGAATTATTTTTACCTATTTGAGCTCAATGCACATATATTTCCCTGATTTAAAATATGGTTTGGAAAATTCAGTTACTTCTCCTTGAAGCAGGTTTTTAGGTGGATGAAACTTTAGAATTCTTACATCTAGACACAAGTCAGATAAAGATGACTTTATCACATTACAGCATTACAGTTGTGCTTCCAAACAGAGTTCCCTACCTAATTATAAAGTCTTCTAGAAGAGAAGGGGTCAGTACAAGCTGAGAACATGAAAGTATCAGCCAAAGACCCTGAAGGTGACCATTAGTCAATCATTCACCTTTCTTACTGCCCTTGATAGTAAGGAAGTGAGAAGACTGAAAAGTGCCTTTTCTTAAGAGTAAGAACAGAGTAACACTTAGCGTGTCTTCCATTTCTGCCTTTGTTTCTTTCACAAGTTAAAATACTAGTGCCACACTCACTTTTCAGTATTTGATGGAATGCTCCTTTGTGTCACTCATTTTACTCTTCATAGGAAAGAAGTGTACCTATGGACACAAGTGCAAATATTACCATCCGGAAAGGGGGAGTCAGCCGCAGCGGTCAGTGGCTGATGAACTTCGTGCCATGTCTAGAAATACAGCAGCTAAAACTGCAAATGAAGGAGGACTAGTGAAGAGCAACAGTGTTCCCTGTAGCACGAAGGCAGATAGCACTTCTGATGTTAAACGAGGTGCTCCAAAGAGGCAATCTGATCCGAGCATAAGGACTCAAGTCTACCAGGACCTAGAAGAAAAGCTTCCCACCAAAAACAAATTGGAAACCAGGTCTGTACCCTCCTTAGTTAGTATACCGGCTACTTCTACTGCAAAACCCCAAAGCACTACATCTTTAAGCAATGGCCTTCCATCTGGAGTTCATTTCTCACCTCAGGATCAAAGACCACAGGGACAGTATCCTCCAATGATGATGGCAACCAAAAATCATGGAACGCCAATGCCTTATGAACAGTATCCAAAATGTGACTCGCCTGTTGACATTGGATATTATTCCATGTTGAATGCATATTCAAATCTGAGTATCTCAGGCCCACGAAGTCCAGAAAGGCGTTTCTCATTAGACACAGATTATAGAGTAAGTTCTGTAGCTTCTGACTGCAGCAGTGAAGGGAGCATGAGCTGTGGGAGCAGTGACTCCTACGTGGGGTACAATGACCGGTCCTATGTCAGTTCTCCTGACCCGCAATTGGAAGAGAATTTGAAGTGTCAACACATGCACCCTCACAGCCGCCTTAATTCCCAGCCTTTCCTGCAGAATTTCCATGATCCCTTAACCAGAGTACAAAGTTACAGTCATGAAGAACCAAAGTTCCATCATAAGCCTCCTCTTCCACACTTGGCTGTGCATCTGCAGCACCCTGCTGTAGGTGCCCGGTCCAGCTGCCCTGGTGATTACCCCTCTCCTCCAGGTGCAGGACACTCTAAGGCACCACACCTAGGGAGGGCCTTAGTGGCCACGAGAATAGACAGCATTTCTGACTCTCGACTGTATGATAGCTCTCCTTCCAGACAAAGAAAGCCTTACTCCCGCCAGGAAGGGCTGGGAGGCTGGGATAGGCCAGGTTATGGCATGGATGGGTGTGGGTACCGGCAGACGTACTCCTTACCCGATAGCTCCACTCCTCCATGTTATGAGCAGCTCACTTTCCAGAGCCTACCTGAACAGCCAGAGCCCACCTGGCGAATACCGTACTGTGGAATGCCACAAGATCCTCCACGGTACCAAGACAACCGAGAGAAGATTTACATCAACTTGTGCAACATCTTCCCACCTGACCTTGTGAGAATTGTCATGAAAAGGAACCCTCACGTGACAGATGCCCAGCAACTTGCCGCAGCCATTTTAGTGGAGAAATCACAGCTGGGTTATTGAAAGATGATGCATCTTTGTGGTGTTTAGTAGTTTTTTGTTCAGCGCAAATGCTGAGGGAGGTTTGCTACAATAGCACATGTGATCTCCTTCTCAGCAAGGAGGTTATATAGTATCCATTTATGTGAAATACTGTATCATGGAATCTGTATGTATAGCCCCACTTGGTGGAAGTATCACAAGATTGCTTTACAGTCAAAACTTTTTTTTTAACATTTCCTTTTTAAAGCTATATCCTTGGCTGGAAATTTTTCCAGTTTGATTTAATAGATGTATCTGTGACCTTTGATATTAATCTTTGGTGCATCAGGGGTTTATATGCAGCACTTTTTATCCTTGTTTCATGTTTTATTAACTTCGTGTTTGTCTATCAATTGCAAGCAACTACAGTACCTTCAGAATGTGGGACACCTGACTAGACCTAGCAAACTGTTTTCCCAAGCCAAGGTTAGCTAGAATCTTTCATAGCTTTTTAAGTTATTTTTATTTGGGGGAAGTGGGCTTCTTTGTGCTGTAATCATTATTTATAGAAACAAAGATAAACTACAGCACTGAGTTTATATTTTAAATAAAATGTAAGTTACCAGTTAATGTTAAAATGGGTAACAGTATATATTAGAATGATTTACAATATGGCACTTTTTATTATTTTATTTTTCTTTGGGTTTTTTTTTTTGCTGTTAAGAAATTAGTTAATTTAATATGGTCAGTTTAAAAGAAAGCAGATGCAATCAATGGAAAAAATTGTTTCCATTTTTTTTTTTTTAAACAAGTCAAAAGCTGTAACTTACACGTTAGAGCTTTGTTATCCGCTGATGACGTGCTTCTAGATGGTAGCAATGGAATTGAATTCCTGAATTTCCATTAGCCTGTACTTTTAGTGTCTGTCTTTTTGTTTGGGGGCACAACAATACTGGATAAATAACCTTTCACAGTACTTGCCTGTTTTTAATGAATCTAATTATTCTTAATGCAACTTTTGTATTTAATACACTCTAGCTTTCCTGCTATTTATCAAGGCTGGCCTGAGGTGGTTTTATGTGTTGAGGATATGCAACTTTTATTGATACTGCACTATAGAAATGGTAATGGAGGAGTTGTAAATGGTAACTTAAAATTTTTTGTAAGATACTGTATATTTTCCATTTTCCTGGAGGTAGTTTTTTGGGGGGTCGGGGAGCCTGTTATACTATTAAGGCCAGACTCTTGCCACAAATAGTGTAGTTTTAGATTCAGACTAAAGTCTGTTCTCGTATTAGCAAGGGATATTTCTGGTTTCAAAGTCGAGGGTTTTGCTTGCAGTGATTACATTTCTGAGGCTAGAAGATGGGTTTTGCAGTCGGTGGCAGACAGTTGGTGTGACTGACGTGACCTAACTGTTCCTTCCGATTCCGAATTTGACCTAGCGTATGAGAACACATTCAGATCTGTTTCCGTAGTCTGCCTGGATGCTCTGATCATTCGGATTATTCTGCATGCTACAGTTTGAAGTAAAGCCCTGGAGAACCAGAAAGTACCTTTTACTGTTGATACAAATTGTATCTTTTTAACAATAAGAACTATTTTGATTTGTAGATCTAGTTAAAAACACAAATGTGTAACTATGATTAGACTTTTGGGCAACATTTTATCCCTTATTTAAATACAAAATTTTAAAAGAAAATTGACGTCTAGAATAGGTTAGAAAATAAAAGTAACAATTAAGGTAAATAAAAGTGTCTGTCTTAGTTTTATATGATATGAAACATACTAAATAAATTTATTGGCATTTTCTTTTTCCTAAAACTTCTCTAGTGTGAACTTAACTTAAAATAAAGGTAAAATGCTGCCTGAAAATAATGTCCAAGCATCTTTGACTAGGATAACATTTTCACTACTTGTGTGACACTGTGTGTTGCATGAAGTAGGATTTGGGTATACAGTAAATGCTTCTAAAAGGCATTGTGCATATTGACATATCCAATAATCTGAACCATGTTCAGCAAACTTAATTCAGGAAAGTGATGTTCTACACAATTGTTGCTGTTGTGTTTGAAGTGAGTGTGGCACATATTTATACCCCAAAATAAAGTAGATGATGCCACATAAACCATTCTGAGTGGCATTTGTCTCAGAGTGACCCTACTCACTTGTGAATTGTTTTTCTTGATTTTGTCAGTCATTATTTATAGAACAAGTTTAAATGTAGAGGCTAAATGAGTGCCAGAAGCAGGGTTAACTTATTCAGATGTGTTAGTGTACCTTTTATTTTAGTAATAGTCTAAGACTTTATAGCATGAAATCACTTTTAAATTGTATATGTAAGTTTGGCCTCCGTTTTCATTTTAGTATTTTAATTATCTGAAAAATGCCAAACTTTACTAAAATTGTTTCAAATGAAATCTTAGGTAAAATTGATAGGACTTTTAAAATTTGACCTTCTAATGTTTTTAGCTGGCTGTTTGTTATTACTATTATTTTGGAAAATAGTATAGTCTGTCAACACTTGTACTAGAGAGAATAGTTATGAACTACCCACACCTAAACCTTTCAATGTAACTAGTTGTGAGTGAAGAAATAAGTTTTCTTACGTCAAGAGGACAATTTATTTCCTTTTTTGAAGCACCATTGTTGCTTTTAGAGGTTAAGAATGAGATAACTAGCAGACTTTAGGTACAACAAATTTTTGTTTGTGTAAAGCAGTAAGTAAAGGGAACCCATTATTAATCCATAGCTGATCACAAATGTTCATTTTAGTAAAGTCTTTCTTCCTAATCCCTATTTACTAGGCTTACTCATAAATAACTAGAAAGTGATGTTTTACTTAGCAATGAAATTGCCAGAAGTGGTCAGCTAATAAAAGAAAAAGGATTCAGAATGAAATCTGCCCCTGAATATTTGACAGTTTACGTACTTTACACAGTTAACTAGCCCAGTCCATTGTGTCTGTGTCTTAGTCCAGAGGGAATAGTACCCAACTGGCCAAATACTGAATCTCAGTATTTCGTCCTTTCTTGCATGTGATACAGACATTTTCAGGCCTGTTTTTATGATCTTGTATCCTATAAGAGTTTGTTACTGACCTAAACATTACAACAGATGCTCACTAGTATAAAATATTTGATACTAGTGACAACCTGAATTTTGTGTTTTTATGAAAAATGCATTTATGAGAATATGTAATATAACTAAAGAGAGTGTTTATATATGTATACACATAAATATTTGTTATAAGATATTAAAATGGGGGAGGTCTTTTGATGGCTAACATTTCCCTTATTGAACTATGTTTCGTTGAGTTGTGGATGACCAAGTCTGGGTCTGGATGACATATGATAAAATTTTGAACCACTTATATGGAAAGCAACTCTTCACTGACTTTATTCCAGATACTCTTTTTAGTTTTGTTCTGTAATAGCTTTATAGGCATGAAGTTCACATATATAATCCTCACCTATTGAAAGTGTGCAATTTAACGACTTAGTATATTCAGAACCATACAGCTATCATCACAGCAACTTCAGAAAATTTTCATCACCCTAAAGAGAAGGCTTATACCCAATCAGCCATCATCTACCCCAGCTCTAGGCAACTACTAACCCGTTTTTTGCTTCTATGTAAATTTCTCTGTTCTGAGCATTTTTCTATATAAATGGAATCATTCAATATGTAGTAGTTTGTGATGGGCTTCTTTCACTTAGCGTTGTGTTTCTGAAGTCCATCTGTGTTGTTGTTGTACGTCATCCTTCATTGCTGAGCATCATTCCATTGTACAGCAGTAATATTACATGTCTTGGATTGTTCCCACTTTTTGGCTGTTATAATAATGCTGGACATTTGCATGTAAGTTTTTATGTGGACAGGTTTTAATTTATCTCGTGTGTACATCCAAGAGTGAAAATTGCTGGATCCCATGGTGAGTCTGTGTTTAGTGTTTGGGGAATTTTCCAAGTGACTGCACCATCTCTGTCCCCACTAGCTTCTCCACACCCTCACCAAGCTTATTGCCCCTCTTCCACTGTAGCCATCCTAGTGTGTGTATTCTGTTGGGGTTTGATTTGTATTTCCCTAATGACTGGTGATGCTGAGCACCTGTCTTCACATGTGTTCATGTGGCCATTTGTGTATCTTTGGAGAAGTGTTTATTCAAATTGTTTGCCCATCTTAAAGCCAACTTAACAGTTTATTGAATTGTAAGTGTTCTTTGTGTACTGTGGATACAGTTCCTTTATCAGATACATGACTTGCAAATATTTCTCCCCTCTGGTTCGTTTGTTTCTTTTAAACTCTCTTGATGGAGTCCTTTGAAACACAACAAGATTTAACTTTTAATGAAGTCTAGTTTATTTTTCTCCATTGCTGTTTCTTTGGTGTTATTTTCTGAGAAACCATTGCCAAATCCAAGGTCATGAAGACATACTCCCGTGTTTTCTTCTGAAAGTTTAATTAAATCGTTGGTCCACTTGGAGTTAATTTTTACATGTGATGCAATGGATCTAACTTCATCTTTCACATGTAGATATCCAGTACCCTTTGTTGAAAAGACTGTTCTTGATTGGGTGTGGTAGCACATACTTGTAATCCCAGCTGCTCAGAAGGCAGAGATTGCAAAGATCACAGTTTGAGGCCAGCCTAGGCAAAAGGTTAATATGAACCCATCTCTGCAAACAAGCCATGTGTGGTGGTTTGTGATTGAAATCCTAGCTATGTATGAGGCATAGGGATTGAATCCTGAGGCCAGACCTAGGCAAAAAATGTGAGACCCTATCTGTAAAATAACTAAAGTAAAAAAGGACTGGGGATGTAGCTGAAGTGGTAGAGCGCCTTCTAACAAGTACAGGGCCCTGAATTTAAACAGAGAGAGAGAGACTATTATCTCTCTACTAAGTGGTATTGGCAGCTGCCAAAATCAGTTGGCTATAAACATGAGGATTCACTTCAGTTCTCAAAATCACAGTTCTTTTCCTTCATGACTCGTGTGGGCTATGGAATTGGGACATGTGAGCTTTTTAACCCTGCTTGCTCGTTTCCGTGTAAATGCTGGTGTCTGGCATCCAGAGTGCAGGCTTTCCCTTGCGTGTGCTCCTGCAGTGGCCGCTTGGGCCGGAGGAAGGGACTGAGGAAGCCCGAGATGTGAGTCGGAGAGGGAAGGAACTTGTACCATGTGGATCTGAGCTGCACAAGGCACCACTCCTGTGCTATGCTGGCTGACTGCTAGAGAGTGAAGGACTTTCTGAAGAACAGCAGATAGGGGCAATCACAATCCAGCACTGTTTAGTATTTCTTGTCCTTTCATTGATCTGAAAAAACTTCTGTGAGTCTATCAGAATGAGCAGTATGTTCAGGACTCTTCATGGGATGAATCCTGGTTGCCTTTGGAGTGATTGCTTGCAGAATGCTCTCAGATGGTAGAAAAGAACCTGTAGTTGACAATTATTTTCATGGAAAGAATTGTTGGTCATGGAGATGACATCCAAAACCTCTCCTGTTTCCTAGGAACAGGACCATTGTACAGATGTCTGTTTTCTGGTGCAGTCATCAGAGTGAGTCATGCTTCACCCCACCTCTGACTTCTGAAGAGTGTGATGAAGCTTGCCTTCTCTGGAGGACTCTGTGGCAGAAAGTCTAACCACAGTCGCTCATCTGTGGAACGAGCAGTTCTCCCAACCGGGCTGAGAGAAGGGGCTGGTGTAGACCAGCCCTGGAAAAAGGATTCCTGAGGTGTGGATAGCAAATGGGAATGATTGCAGACTGCGCTGCACACAGCTTCACCTGTTTCATGCATTTCCAGTGCCTGGTGGTGCTTTGGCAGGAGTCCTGAGTGCCCTTGTGTCAGTTATTTCTCCTGTCACTGTCTGCTGGGGGTTGGCCTAGTGGGAGAGCTCAAATCCAAGCAGCTGGATGGGAAGTACCTATGGGTATTGGTCTCTGGAATTTGGGCCCTGGTTTTGGAAAGGTTGAGTCACTCAGTGCCCCTTGGTTTTGGGGCTTGGTTCTGTAGGAGGGATGTCGGGAGGAGTGGGAAATGGTGTCAGTGTAACTGTGCTGACCCTGCTTCTCACTGGGCTGCAGTGTCCCAGCTTTGCTCTGCTGCTCAATTTGTACTATGCCTGGGCCTTTGAGTCAAGATTCAAGTCGACCTTTTGGACTTGGCTTCTTTTGGGCTGACAAAGTGTGGCGCGTTGTTGGTGGTGAGATCTTTGCCTGTAGGCCCAGGCTGGGTGCTTGCTTGGTAGGTTTTCTGGAAGTTCTTGTTGGCAGAAAGCCCTTGGTTAGCCCAGGACAGACCCACACCTAGGTTCTGAATGTCCTCGCTCTTGGATCTGTGGTAAGAGCCTATAATGCAGTGACTTTGCTGGCTTGGTTTTGTCTGAAGGTGAGATTTGGGATTTGCTCTTTGGCCTGCTCATCTTGAGATGTTAAAAACAGTTATTCAGCTAAGAAATTTATAACTCTTTTCCTGCTGTGCACCAAGCCTTTACTAGCTACTGGATCCAGGGGTCAACAGGACTGAAGATGCTCCCATCCTTAAGGAGCTGACACTCTTAAATCCCTACCCCCATTCCTTGCATTCTTAAATATTATTTCAATAATTTTAATAGAACATGTAATTTTAAAATATACACAAAAACCTTAAAATATTATTGATTATTCAAATGATTATTTAACATGTCTTTTGTGGATGTATCTATATGTATATAGACAGTAATATATTTATAAAACAAATATACTGTATGTTGTAGTTCTTAGTTTGTGATAGTTGGGAGGATGAGTCTGGACTGGTGTATGTGTGCATGTGGGTATGTGAGTTCTGAAAAACTCTAGCTGTTTCCCGCTAATTTAATGATACTAAAGTATACTTGGTTTTCTTATTTGTTGTCCAGCTTCCTTATTCAAGATAATATAAGATGTCCATTCTTCTGGCCTTTCTGTTGGTGTATGACTCTTCTGTTTTATTACTCTCTAATTATTGGGAAATTCCTGATTGACCTGATATCAAGCAGATTATGACTAGAAATAATGCTTATTTTCTAACTACATTAGAAATGAAAACTCAGCTGTAATGTTAAGTTTCCAAGATATATACAAACAAAATAAGATGGCATACACACGTATTAGAGAAAGCTAAGTGTTAATGAAAGTAAAGAGACAGGCATTATTTTAGATTGGTCTAGGAAAACCCTCTCTGGTAATAATGGGTGGCAAACTTTTTCTGTAAAGGATCAGGCAAGAAATAATTCAGGCTTTGAAAATCAGATGGTCTCCTAAAAGCCACTCACCTCTGCCTTTATAGCATAAAAGCAGCCATAGACAATACGTACGTGAGAGTGTGGCTGTGTTCCAGTAAAGCTTTATAAAAACAGGTGACAGGCTAGCTTTGGTCCATGGGCCATTCCTGATGCTTGAGAAAAACAGGCATGTTAAATAGTGAATACTGGTATATGTTAATATAAGAAATAGTAACTGTGTTTCAACTGATATTCAGAGAAAATCTGATGACTATTGGTGTCCTTCAAAAGGTCATTGTGGGAGTCATATGAAAGCACTTACTTGCACTTAAGTTTTTAAGCTGGTCACACCCATTATTTGAGATTCTTGTGTTTAACCACAAAAATAACCTGTAAGAAGATGTTTTAATAAATATCAAAATTTTTCATGAACTTTGTATTTCTATTGATAAATGGGAATCCTTTACTTATCTTTTGTTTTTTAATGGCCTTGTACACCAAAAAAAAATCTGTTGTATTTTGAAAATTAGCCTGCAATTAGCCATAAATTTTTTAGAGAGTGTTTATCAGTTATATTTTTCTTTTGTTTCTGTCTTCTAATATGTGACATCTGCTCTCCTTTACAAATGGTTTTAAAGAAGTTAAACATATTGTAATTTCACATACTTCATCTTTTTCCTCTGTAAAATTGGAAATTGTGACTAGTATAATTATAGCTACAATGTGAGTATGTTTGTTATATTGTCTTTATAATAAACAGTGTATCTCTGCTTTCTATGTCTAAATGTTTAATATAGATTTTTTTTGGCTACCTTAGGACTGTCAGTGATGAATGATACTCTTATAATCTTGAGAGATTCTGAATTCATTGGAAGTACACACCACTACATGGTGTTAGAGCAATAACGTCTTCATAAGAACACTAAGGACTTTCTTCTTAAACTGGAAAACAACTCTAGCTTTAATAGTGTTTATTGTTTGAAACGGCTATTTTGTTGTTTTTCTTTAATGCTCTTAGTTAACTTATTACTCCTGTTAGAATAATACTGTTATGTGTTAGAAGTAGCTTTTCCCATAAGATTTTTAATCTTTCAGATTTAAAAACAAATCAGTTTTGATGATTTGGCAGAAAATGTCTATGCATGTTTTAATTTAGCTTTATAAATTTTGTAAGGTTTTATTTCTTAAATCATGTCCATGTATTTCAGATGAACAACAAAACGTTGACCATTAGTGCTTTTGCTATCTTTCTTTCTAAAGGAGCTTGTGTCTCAAAGGAAGAGACATTGAAGGGTGATAGTTTGTTTTTATAGCGTATGTTTTACATTTCCTTTGGGTTTTTTAAATTATAAGTTTTCTGCCTTATGTAAAATGCTAACAAACATGAAAACTTCCAAAGAGACATAGTATTTCATTGCAAGTATACCAGGTTATTGGTCTTATTTTTTTCCCCTTTAGGTTTATCCTCCCAAACTATAGTTGTATGCAGATAGTAATTGGTCCTGAATATTTTTCTTACTGGAAAGTAAGGCAAAGAATATGTTTAAAACAATCATCTGATGAACTGATAGGATTCTGTCTCTGTTCTGTGTTTCTGTAATGGAATTTTTATAATTCCAAAAGCAGTGTTGTAGACTTTCTAGAAATCCATATCAGAACAGCTGTATAATTCTGCCACTGAGTGGGAAAATAAAAGTACTGATTTTTATGGTAGTTTGTTTTTGTCTCATGAAGAAACTGTTCTGATATGGTGGCGTGGATGCTAAATAAATAAAAGTACTGTCCTCTTCCCACAGCTTGCCTCCTTCCGTGGCTCATGACAGGAGCCTTTGTAGAGTAAGCACATGGTCAGCATCAGTGTCAAGACAGCTGACATAATTTACAGTATGGTGAGAGGGTTTCCTTTCTGACCCATTGCAGAAGTGTTTGTTTCTGGTGGTTTTGACGTGTCATCCAGTATTTGGCTAAGACAGTCATTGTTAATAGGGACCCTGTCCAGTGAGTTAAGCAACACTGCATATCACTCACGCCCATTTTCTGAATATGAGGGCCGGCAAATGATTGAAGTGACTCACGTGGGAAGAGTCCTTTGGGTGCAGCTAGTGTTGTGCACCAGCTTTGAGCACTGATGTGTGTGAAGCCAAAGGCCCTGGACTCGGAGAACCAAGCCCCCCTTCGGGGACTCTACATTCTTACAGTTGGACTGGAATCTCCAGGGCCACCTGGTTAGCATGAGTAAAGATTTTTTTTTAAACTAGACTGATCAAATCTTAATGTTGCAGGATACTCAAAAACAGGGAGACAGTACACTGAGGCTTTTTAAGAAGCAATGTTCATTAGCGTGCTGGCAGCAGCTCAGTGGATTCACATCCAAAGGCTGAGCCCCAAGAACAAAGGGGCCTTGCCTTATATACCATTCTAGGAAGGTTGCAGAAGCAAGAAACAAAGTGTAATCCATATATTGTTACATACTATTTCATTGGCTAGCTTCCTGTCAGTGCTAAGTGACTTTATGTTCAGATTCTTTAAGTTTTATCTTCCTGCTATGCCATCCCCTCCCCCCTGCTACATCAGCAGAACACAGACTTGGCTGCTGCTTTTCTGGTCCTCCTTCCTACCTACATTATTCCCTCTGATGCTCAGACCCACCTCGGGTCAAAGAGCATCATCTTGATTTAGGAGTTTATATTTTTATAGCATCATTACAAGATTACATGGGTGACTGTTTTTCTCTTTACAATGGCCTCTGTAATGGTCCTGATGGACTCCAATACCAGGGGAACCAGGCAGGGTAACATTAAACATGCTATCAAGACAAGATCCATCACCCTGCTTTTTATTACAAATGTGGCTTGTATTTTCCTTACTCTAGGACTTTTAGTATCACTTACGGCAACCTCACAAACCTGGGAGTATATGAGCTGATGAAACACCTGACTTGTTGGTGGGTGGATGATACAAAATATGACTGTGTGGAGGTCCCAACAATGGCTCTCTTACAACATTCAGTACATGGGGGAAACCTTGCAAGGGCCAACCCAAAAGGTAAGAGTCCAAGTGTGTAGAGGAAAGCAGGGGTGCATCCCATGTTTGAGCTTATGCTGTGTGTAGACTAGTCAGCTTCCAGAGTGACCAGAGCAGGGCTGGTGTACTGTTTGTGGTCCCCTGTTGTCTCCTGGGAAGTGGGGTCCTGCTGAGGAAGGGCACAGGTGTTCCAGAGGGTGATCTTGCATGGTAAGGCTGGGTCAGGGCTGGAGAGGCTGGCTTTACTTGGCTGTGGTGGATCCAGGGAGCAATTTCTGCTACTTTAACTGTAGTGGGGGTAGACAAAATAACAAAAGGTCCCCTCCAATGGGGTTTTAATGGTTGGACATTATACCCAGACAGTATCTCCTTTGTTTTTTTTTAACTGAGTAGAATTACCATGGCAACAATATATTATCAGTATATATGTCCAAGGAAACACGTTGCTAAAAAAATGTTTAAAATACCATCTTTAAGTATCAAAGGACATGTCTAGAGCCAGTAAAAATAGCCATTTTGTCTCTATTTATGTAGAAGACCCTATATAAAAAATATGACTGTGTCTGGAAGGGCTTTAATGTCAGATAGCCACACATGCATAAGAACCATTTCCTCAATCCTCTCAGCTTTGGGGTTTTTTTTGAGAGGTCTGGCCTGAGTGACTCCATTTGATCTTTGACAGCATTCCCACCTTGTCTCCAAACTGTCTCTGAGCAGTCTCCTCTGAAGATCTTTCTCCCATCCAAGTACTAACCAGGCCCGACCCTGCTTAGCTTCCGAGACCAGACAAGATTGGGTGTGTTCAGGGTGGTATGGCCATAGACTAAAGATCTTCCTCGATTGGTTTTTTGTTTTGTTTTGTTTTTTCTTTCATGAAGATTTGTTCTTTCCTACATTTTTATTTCTTTGGTTGGTTTTGGTCCCACATTGGGGGGCAAGTAATGAGCAGATCAGGTGGGAGTCAGTTCCAACTAGACCCTTTTGGCCAAACTTAAGCAACAAAGAGACTTAGAAGGAGTGGCTCTTAGGCAGTGGGCTTCTAAACAAGGACAATAAAAAACAAAATCCTACAAAAGCAGACATCCAAAAAGCTAACCTGGTTAACACATAAGCACTTATTAGAGTCATTTTTCATAGACTTGATTTGTAAATGCCCAGAAGGATCAGAAGAACTGTGACAAAACTTAAAAGAACCATGGTTATGTTTATTGCGGCACTATTCACAATAGCCAAGTTATGGAAACAGCCAAGATGCCCCACCACTGACGAATGAACTAAGAAAATGTATCTATACACAATGGAATTTTATGCAGCAATGAAGAAGAACGAAATGTTATCATTCGCTGGTAAATGGATGGAATTGGAGAACATCATTCTGA